ACCAAAACCTTTACAGTATAGGGAAATTTCAGTATTCAGAAAGTACACCCTTTTTTGAATGAATTACTGCATTAATCAGGTTCCGGGAGGTAAAATCAGCCTGGGTTTTTTGGGTTGGTTCGGATGACCCAAAACCCCCTACCTCCTACCCCCAAAATTTTCGAGGGGATTTTGTCAAAAGGGGCTTCCATCTAACGGAACCGGGTTTCTTTTAAACCCCTGACGAGTTTTAACCCTAAAACAGAAATTATTTAAAAGATTTTGTTTAACTGGGGTCGAGGGGACACCCCTTTAAAGCCCCAACAGCCTACAACCAGAAGTCACACCCTATTTCAACTGTTTAAAATTTGCCAACTAAGTAACCCCGCAGAAAGCCCAGATCAAAACGGCCCAATCTTTTTAAACAATCACTGCCCTGCCCTAAAATTTTACAACTTAAAAGGGGGTTTATCTGGGCCTGGGTTTGTTTTAGTGGCTCGGCGTGAGTCCTAAGGGTGTTTTTTTTGGGTTTAAAAGGTTTTTCCCTTTTAAAAACCCCATATTTTTCCCCCAAAAAAGCCCCAAAACATGTTTTTTACAAACCACTGAAAAAAAAAGAATAAAAAGGGGACATTTAATAATTCTTTTGTCCAAAATTTTTCTCAAAAATTTTTAAAAAAAATTCTTTTTTAATTAGTAAAAGCAGTAAAAAGCATCAAATTCAGCATCACAAAATAATCAAATAATAGCAAATATAAATTTAACCCTTAACCCCCAAACTTTCCCCCAAATGCTGAAAAATGGGGGATTCTAAAAGTGGGGTTTTGAGGTACAGAGTCTTTCACACCCCCCGATCAGAATGAATCTTTCTGGAGGCAACCTGTTGATTTCTTGGGCGGAAGGTAAACTGAAGATCTGACTTGCTTCCTCTGAGTAGACGAGCATTGATCTCCTAGGTCTTCATGATCAGAAGCTTCTGTTTCCTCGAGGTTGGAAGTGGCCTAACACGAAGAATGCAACAATTGTAGCTCATGTTCTGGATACACCTGTGTGTGGTGCCTTCTAAAGCGCTGACTCCAACTGCAGTCTCTGCATTGTGAATCTCCTCCCAAACTCCTGGAAGGACTTTGCTTCAGAATCCTCTCACAACTGGATGTCCCTGTTTCTTGTGGGCCTTTACTGTCATGGATTTTCAACTTCCACTCAATTTTCTAGTTACATGTTTGCATACAGTTAGGCTGTTGGTAGCACTGTTGCCTTGAAGCAAGAAGGTCTGGGGTTCGACTCCAGGCCGGGGGTCTTTCTGCATGGAGCTTGCATGTTCTCCCCGTGCATGCGTTGGTTCTCTCCGGGTACTCCAGCTTCCTCCCACGGTCCAAAAACATGAATGTTAATTGGTTTCTCTACATTGCCCTTAGGTGTGACTGAGTGTGGGCATGTTAGTTTGTCCTGTGTGTGTCTGTGTTGCCCTGCGATGGGCTGTCGAGCTGTCCAGGGTGTACCCCGCCCATAGACTGCTGGAGATAGGCAGCTTCCCCGCGACCCACTATGGAAGAAGCGGTGGAAAATGACTCACTGATGTATGCATACGGCACACTGTGAACAGCTAACATACATCGTCTTTGTGAATGGTGTCAACGACTGTCTTCTAAACATCTGTTAAATAGGCAGTCTTTTCCATAATTAGTCCATACCATGGCCATGTCAAAACATTTCAGTATTTAAAACCATTTTTTCATTGGTCCTATGAAATATTTTAATACTCTGAGAAGCTTGACTTTGGGGTTTTTATTTGCTACAAGTTGTTTGTAAATCCCGTTTGTTTCATGCATTGGAATATGTCTGCTGTGGGGTAAACCGTAATGTTTCTGCTTTGTTTGGATGATGAGCAAATTGTCATTTAGGCTGAGTGAGATTCTGGGTCTTGGTGCCGTTTCCGAAACAGCGGTTCAGTAAGGAAAGCTTTATTTTCCTGCTATATTTAACGGTAATAACTCTATCCTAACTGGAAACAGAAACCACAAAGAAACACGGGGGGGGGATATTCCCCCTCAAAAAAACAGGGGCCACGGGCAAAGAAAAATTAAAAATAACAGTTATTTTTAAATTTTTTTTTGGCCGGGACATACCCAAGAAGCTACGGGCTTTTCCTCACTCTTCTTAAGCCCAAGAAAATTTTCAGTAGGGTTTTCTTCAGACCCTTTTCAAACAGCCTTGGCCCCATTTTCGGGCCAAAAAAGCTAGATCCAGTCAAGGTAGTAGAGTGCCCTGATTTTGCAAATACATTTTTTTTTTTAGATGTTTGTCCAAAAGGGCCAGGAAGCGTATGGCAATCCTTTTTTTCCTTGTTTTTTTTTTTTTTTATTTTTGGAACTCCCTAGGGCCAAAATTTTTTTTTTGGTTTTGAAAATTTTAAAAAATACCATTTGTAATTTGCTAGATATTTTTTTTACATAGGAAAAGCCTTTAAAATTTTACATAGTTTAAGAAAAAATTAAAGGGTTAGGAATTTTCCAAAAGCTTTGGGGAAAGATACCAGTAATATTTTTTCCCTTTCCGTAGAAAGAAAATTGTCAAATCGCAATTTTTGGTAAAAAAAACCCGGGAAAAAATAAAATTCAAATTTTTTGTAACTGGTTTTTTTTTTTTTAAATAAATGAAACAACTTCAAAACCAAAACATGTTTTAATCCCCTCATTTGTTTAAAAAACCGGGCAGTTTTAAAAAAAAAAAGGTTTTTAAAAAATTCTAAAAGGGGTTGGGAAACAAAGGGGCCGGGGTTTTAAAGGGCCAAAAAACTACAGGGGTTGCTTTTTAGGGGGGGCCCCGTTTATATCAGCCCTGATCAGCGGGGAAACCCCCTAAAAAAGGCCCTGGAAAAACCCCTTTGGGGATTTTGCTACCGCCTGTCCCCCCGGAAAAAGGGAATTTGGGGGGCAGTTTTTGTGTTTTTTCCGGGGAAAAATTTTTCCAGTTGGGCTTACATAAACTTCAACAACTTTATTTTAAACATAACCTTTGCCCCTTAAAAAGATTTTTTGGTTTTATTGATAAACCCAAAAACCAAACCCAAAAATTTATTATAGTAAGAGCTTTTTTTGCCCTGTTTTTTTGGGGGCAGCTTTTTCCTTTAAATTAAACTTTTTTTTCCAACTTCTCATTTAAAAACTACCCCAAAAAAAAAAAAACTAATTCATATGCAATACAACTTTTTTAAGTTATCATCTTGAGTTTTTATGACTCAGTCAGAACAAGTTAATTTTCTTTTTAAACATAAATATGTCTGAAAAATATGTTAAAACAACAATTGGTTCTCTTCTGCTTCTTCTTTCAGAGAGTTGTCATCCAGACATCAGACCGGTATGCCCTTCAGGAATGCCAGAGAATCGAGGCTGATTTAAAAACAAAGAACAGAGGAATATGAAAGTGGTGATCAGGATTTATCAAATTATGTTGAGCTGTAAATTTGAAAACTGTTTAAAATTGTCTACGAGTTTCAGTCACTTTGATGCTGCTTTGTTGTCTCATGTTCTTCTTTTGAAGTTCTTAACGCATGTTATGTTTTTAATTGTCTCAAATAGCTGTAACAAATAAAATATATATTTTTAATGGCCTGAATTGTGCCTTTTTCTAAGTCTGTCCTAAGTGAGCATGTGATTGCCCTGTATTTTTGTGTGTTTTTACACTGAGTTGCACAGGGCAATTATCTTCACACACGATAGAATGAAATTTAATCTGCCACAGTTACAATGTTCTGACAGATATCACAGTCCGTCATAGACTCTTTAAGTTAAAATGCTAGTAAGATCGGATTTGGGAACCGTGGCGGCTTCTTCAAAAGCTTGTCCAGACTCGTGATCTTTTTTGTCTAACGCACTGTCCGGTCCCAAGTGAAGGTCACATTTAACAAGATGGTGAAGCAATAGATTGTCCTCCAATTTTTAGAGTTTGAAGTTTTAACTTAAACGAGTATAAAGGAAATTTCTCTTCACTGAATAACATACCATGTTCAACTCTACAGCTTGATGACAGCAGCTGACTCAAAGAGTTGTAAGATTGGCTTCTTTATCATTAGAGATAAGCACTTTTAATTTTTTATTTTAATAACTCTTTCTGATATTTGCAAAACGTGACTTATTGTCTACAGGAATAATATGCGTCCATCCCAGCTAAAAGCAAAGGTTTATGGACATCATTTGTTCTCTTCATGATATGCTCACCGTATGTGATCTGGACTTCAGGCAGGTCAATCGAGCACACAGACTCCTTATTGGGTCATTTTGTTGTTTATTCATTCAGATTAATGTTCTAAATTGAGGGGGGTAAAATTAAAATATGAAAAACCGTTTATGATTTATGATTGCATTTACAGCATCCTTCCCATTTATTGGCACCGCTGTTTGTAAAAAGCATTAAATTCATCAATTACAGAGGCATGATCTCACACAGACACATTTAGATTCATCCTCCCTTTTTATTTCAGTATATTTATATTTAATTCACAGTTACTCCAATGTTAAGATATTTTTTTATTTTACAAATTCATCAGTTTTATACTTATGGCCTTTTGTAAAATGCATAGAAAATAAACCTAAGTGGTTTTATAATTTATACTTTTAAAGGTTTATCAGAAGAATCAGTTGATTAACTTTTAATTCTGATAGAAATAATAAAATTACACAGAACCTCATTTCCTTTGTCCACTTTTCAAAATGGGAAAGACTAGAGAACATGCCATTCAAACAGTGCGGATATGAATTGAGCTTAATGAATCAGCAAATGTTTATTGGAAAAGAACCACCTGCCTACACTTCCCATATCTACACTCAGAGCAATAATTCAATGGTACAAAACAGCTGGAACTGTGATGAACCACATAAATATCTCTGTAAAATCTACGCTTACCAACACCTTAAAGGTATACGGACTGAACTTACATAGCCTTTCCAGCATCATACTGACCACTCAAAGCACTCTACACTAGAGCCATATTCACCCAGACGCACTCACTAATGCACACATGTGGCAGGGGGAAGCTGGAATCAAACCCACAACCCTCAGATTGCAAGACAAGCGCTCTTCTCACTGAGCCATAGTCACCTCAGCAAAGCTGCTGTTTCAGCGTTTTTTCTCAGGGTTCCCCGGGGTATGAAAAAGTCTCATATTTGAAAATCAAAATTTAAGGCCTTAAAAAGTCTGAAATTCACTAAATTACTGTTTTCAACTCAAATCAAAAATACATTATTAATCCCAAAGGAAAATAAATGTTGTAGCTCATATTATACAGGTTTCTTCAGAGTCATAGTTGCTGATGGCTGTGAGCAGGGAGGATCTACTGTAGAGGTCCGTCTTACAGCAGATCTGAAGAAACCTCTAACTGAAGACACTCTGTTGTTGTATAACAGTCTCATGAAGAGGATGCATTTGAGAGGCATTGTCACTGCTGTTGATGGTTTTAGATCAGAAGGTTTCCTCTGTATTTATTGACATGAAAACTCAACTATATCTCTCTCTTAGCTCTTTCACATGCCTCAGTTGTCTAAGCAAGGGTAATGTAGCTTGTTTTTCTGTAAAATAGTCGCCCATACTGTATCTGTCTTTGCATTGTAAAACGTCTCAGTGGTGACCTATTAAAAGCTGTGGAATGTTCTCTGGCCTCGTAATGGTTTGACCCTGTAGTTCAGGATCAAAGGCGAGCTGCAGAAACGTGGGGGTGGACTCTGAGGCCGCATACCTGTGCTCACCTTGGCTGCAAAGTTTCAGTATGTCATTGTGTAATCAGTGTTCAGTCTGTGAGAAAAATAAAACTTCAACTCAGAGATGCAAATTTATCAGTGGGGATTTTGTACCTGAATTTTCAGGAAAGAAATCTATTTTTGATGTGAACTTTAAGCATAGCAAAGCAGTTCAGACTGTAGTCGAACATTAATGCTAAGCTTTGCTCACATTTCCCTTTAGTCATCTAAAATACTAAAATCAAAACAAACACTGTTTTAATAACAAGGCAGCATTACCATGGCTGCATTCTTACTGTTTTACATTGTTGTTCAGGATAATTTGTTGTAGGGAGAAATGTCACGCCTCTGTGAAGTTTCACATGAAGAACGCAGCCAGACAATTGCTGTTTGGGATAAGCACAGAGATGAAGGATTTAAGGCCAGTAACATGTTATTACTGTATCCACAAGGAAGGAAAAGCATTTGGATTTGTTTTGCTTGTGGGTTCGATAATTCTAAAAACATCTCAGAAATATGAACAAAAAGTTTAGATAGAGAAAATGAAAAAGGTTTTGTTTTGTCCAGCAACTTGTTGTTAAACTGTGAATAATTCATTTGTTAACAGAAAATAAATCTCAAACCTGAAGAATGGCCTAGGAATCTAGACAAAGAAATGTCTGACAACCTGCCACAAACAAAAAAAAGGGTCCAGTTTCTTTTGTTAAATGTCAGAAGAATCACAAACATAACAGTTCGACACACAATAATACTTTAACAACAAAAATCGTATTTAAATAATCGAATGGGCTGTTCTAGAGGAAACACCTTTCAAATATCCCACAGAAGACTAGGACAACACCTCTGGACCGGGTTTTTCAGAAAGGGGAATGGAGTTCACACTTCTCGGCTCAAGTAAACCTTGCTCTATGGCAGGGGAGACCAAAGTGCAGCCCATTGCCCGTTTGCAGCCTCGAAAAGGGGGTGAAAAGAGACTGCAATTTAAGAATAGAACAAATTTGACCAGCCAGCACAGGCAGTTAATACAGATGGACATTTCTTTAAATTTTAATAAAAGATTTTCCCTGAAAAATTAAAATCTTCTTACAATGGAAAAGGTTAGGTGCAATACAAAGTATTCACCTTTTAACAGCCCTGTTTTTTTGCTTTTATTTCAGTTCCATTGTGTTGGACCACAAACATCTAACAAGTTTTACTCAAAAAGTAGATGTGGCCACTTGGAAAAATACAGCAAGCACATTCTAAAAGAGGAACCCATGCTTTTTTTGTTGCTATGAATGGAATAGAAAAAAAAATCTGAACCAAGAAAATAGAAAGAAGATGACCCAAAAATATTCAGGGAATTGTATGCCTTTGTTTTGAATGAGCCAAATGTGCAACACCCATTTCATGTTTTGAATATACTATGGTATGCAGATAAATATTCTACAAAAATCTGACAAAACATTGTATGTCTAGTGATCAGGTAAAAAGTTTCACAATAAAAATAATTCTTGCTCTTTTTGAATAATTATAACAATAATTCAGCTTGATAACGTTGGCCTCATCAAAAAAGGTTTTGACACCACTGCTCCAGGGTGTTGGAAAAAAGGCCCCAGACAATTGTCGAACCTTGGGCTCAGGTGAAGCGTTGCGACCTTTGTCCTGGGTGTGGAACAGTGGGCCAGATCTTTAACCTTGCAGAACTACTGAGTGGTTAATGGGAGCTTTGTTGTCAAGTCCTTGTGTGTTCTTGATCTAAAGAAGACTTCTTCCCTTGAGGTTATTTGTTCCTTGTATACCCAAAACAAGAGCTGTCTTCACATTCTTGGCATATTTATCTGGTTGGAATCTGCCAGCGTTGCCCTATGTAACCAACGCTGTTTGTGGCATTCACGGTCGGATTATGAGTCATGAATGTAAAAAAAAATCTTTCATACAAGAAGTTGAAATGAGCTTTTTCTACCGAGTGGCTGTTCTCAGAAATAACCATGGGATGAGGAGCTATGAGATGAGTTGTAGCCTCAGTTTGTCTGTGTTTGGTGGCCGTCGAAGCCCTGATTCCAGCCAAAGTCCACACCTTGTGAGTTTCCTTTAATGGGCTCGTACTCGTACTCGTACTCGTACTCGTCGTCTTCCGCTTATCCAGAACCGAGTCACGGGGGCAGCAGAATCAGCAGAGACGCCCAGACGTCCCTCTCCCCAGACACCTCCTCCAGCTCCTCTGGGGGGAGCCCAAGGCGTTCCCAGGCCAGCCGAGAGACATAGTCCCTCCAGCGTGTCCTGGGCCGTCCCCTGGGCCTCCTCCCGGTGGGACGTGCCTGGAACACCTCCCAAGGAAGGCGTCCAGGAGGCATCCAGTATAGATGCCCGAGCCACCTCACCTGGCTCCTCTCGATGTGGAGGAGCAGCGGCTCTACTCTGAGCCCCTCCCGAATGGCCGAGCTCCTCACCCTATCTCTAAGGGAGTGCCCGGCCACCCTACGGAGGAAGCTTATTTCAGCCGCTTGTATCCGGGATCTCGTTCTTTCGGTCATGACCCAAAGTTCATGGCCATAGGTGAGGGTAGGAACGTAGACCGACCGGTAAATCGAGAGCTTCGCTTTCAGCTCAGCTCTCTCTTCACCACAACGGACCGGCACAGCGCCCCCATTACTGCGGCAGCCGCACCGATCCGTCTGTCGATCTCCCGCTCCATTCCTCCTCCTTTAATGGGCTTTGCATCATAATTCTCCTACCATTATTTTTTCCTTCCAGTGAACTTTCCACTAAAATAATTGGATACAGCTCACCGTGAACCGCCTTAACATGGCCATTACATTACATCTATGTATTAAAAAACATTTTTTATAAAAAATTTTAATTTTGCTAGATACTTGGTGTTGGTTTTATATCAGCTACAAGCCATACTCATCAAAATGGACAGAAATAAACACTTGAAGCACAAGATTATTTTTTAGGTAAACTCCTGAAATACATTAGCTGTTTTGCTAATTTTCTAATCTAATTAGAAAAGTCTGTTCTGTATTTGTTTCAGGGTTAATGTAAATATGTAAAACAGAATCGCAGTTAAAATACTGTTCCTCTAATAATGTTTTTCTAGATTATGAATTCCTTGTTTAAACCATGCATGGAATTTTGTTGAAGAGCTGTAGATATGTGAGAAGAATTCAGTGAAAGTTTAAAATCCGGAGCCTGACAGAAACTGTAGGTTAATGATTTCCAACAACTTCCAGCATCCTCCCGGTTGAGCTAATCTACAATCACATTCTTTCATTCCTGAGAGAACCTGATATCCTTGTAGAATGGTGATCTAGCATAGAGAACCACTCAAAAACTGCAGCTTCATGTCTGCTGAGAAAATAATCACCTAAAAATTATTTGTCAATGACAGAGAACACCCAGTGAAGGTATTTATTTAGTAACTACATAATATTTGGGACTAAGTTGATGAAAGCATGTGTATCAAAAGCCAGAACAAGGGTATCAATGGTACTGTACTGTGTCTTTGATCTGATAAAATTACTGCTTAGAGTTTACACTCTATTATTTAATATGTCCTACACCTCTGTGGCTGAGTTGCTGTTGTTCCCAACTGTTTCCACTCTGTTGCGATGCCTGTAACTGTTGACTGTGGATTGTTTAGCAGTGAGAATGTTAGAAATGTTTGAATTTAAAAATAACATGAAATTTGCATTCAACATACTCCAGCATGTGGCTTTTCATGCCTCAGACTGTGGAAACTGACCTAGCCATCACCTTCAGATCAAAGAGTCAATATTTTATTAGAAAAATATAATTTAAATGACAGCTGTCCAAATTGATACTGTGTAAAAGTAGAATAAAATATCTAAATCTTTTCATAACTCAAAATTATTGAAACATTTCACACAAGAACTCATACCTTCACTATTATGGGAGGAGAGGGGTTGTAGTTCATGTTTTATAGACGTTCAGAGCACCATTTTCAGCTGTGATAGTAACACAAAAAACATATCTGTTGCACATATGCACACTGTAGCTATACTGTAGTAGGAAGTAGCAGACAGGATGGGAGAAAGTCTACATCTGTTTCCCTCTATTCATCTGTTGGTTGGGATAACGATAAGGCTTGGACATCCTGCCTGTGCGCTGCCTCGTTCTCAGACACTCAGCATTGCTGGCCAGATGTGCAGCCCTGGTGTTCCTCTAATTGGCATCACCCATACACTGACTAAAGCTGTTTATCACTTCCCCCAAAGACATCCTTTGTGTCACAACCAGTAATTGTTGATAGTTTTGCTGGATTTTTCTGAAAACTCTGCAAAACATGGTTTTGGGACAAATTGAAAATGCATAAGCTGAAATAATAAATTTTAAAGTTTATTTGAAGTATATTCTAAGTAC